TGTGTGTGTGTGTGTATATATATATATATATATATATATATAGTACCAGGCTGACACCTGGAAAACGTCTGCGTACCTTGCATAATGACATAGTTTTAGACAACCTCTTAAAGGTTAACTGTGGAGTTTACAGATCGACTTAAAATCATTAACATAATATCTCCATGGACTTAAAAGTTGAGGATTTGGAGATGGAAATATCATCCCTATTTACCTGTAAAATTTCAAATTTGGACTACTGTGTTTAATTCTAGAGGACTGATGACATCTGAAATATTTTTTTCAGGCCATCAAGCTATAAAAAGTTTTCCAGACTGTGATGTCATGTGTCCTTATGAGGAAAATGAATCCAGGAGCCAAACACAGTCTTGACAGTTAGGGAGGATATAATTTTTAAACATTTTGTTTTAAAATGAAATTGTTCTCTAAGGCTGACAAGTACTTAGAGTGTTAAATCTCCAGACTATCTAGTAAGGCTCCATCTAAGGCTTTATAAGAGACCAAGGAGGGAGTAAACAGGTCTTCCTTCCTTCCTTCCTCCCTTCCTTCCTTCCTTCCTCCCTTCCTTCTTCCTTCCTTTCCTTAATTAGATTGATTTTCTTGGGGGGGGGCACTGAGACAGGGTCTCACTATAGTTCAGGCCAGTTTTGAACTCACTGTGTAGTCCAGGCTGGCCTCAAACTGACAGTGATCCTCCTGCCTCGGTCTCTTGAGCACTGGAATTACAGGTGTGCCGCACTATTCCCGGCCAACTGATGTTCTTTTCACTCAGATAAAAGAAGTGGACTCTTAATAAAATTGAATACACTTAAAGCTTATTTGAGCTTCCTGAAAAAAATGAAGCCACCTTTGAAGATTTAACAAATTCCTTCCTTTTAGAAATACATTGTTGAAAACTACAATCTGGGGCAGTCCGTGGAGGTTTTCCCTGGTTAGGCGTGTTAACAAGAACAGGCAATTGGCCATATTCCCAAAGGCAAATGATCCATTGAGCACTGACCTTTTTTATTTCCTTTGAAAGAAGGGAGGGAATAGCAGTGGTCTCACAGTTTGTCATCTTTGAAATCTGGCCTAGTGATTTGCCTGCAGGTCAGGTGATCAGACTGACTTACAGTTTTCTCATCTTTTTTTTATGTATAACTTTATTATCATTCACTAAACACACCTATACAAAAATTAAAATTATTCAAAGAAAAGCAATGCAAGGGAAAAAATTATAATAATATTCAAATATAATAGAACTCAATCAAAGCAAAACTGAAAACTACTTAAACATTTTTCCATATAATTTTAAAACAAAATCTCAAGTATTAACAAGACGTCAGAAGATGTGATTTGTTTAAGAAAGATTTTCAAAACCAGTATTGAATCAACAGTGGTCTGGAGAAAAAACTTCTAATTAACTAGTAGACTCCACATAGGTCAAATTTTTTTAAATTTAAATTTCAATAGTCATGTGACATGTAATGGAAATATAATCTGAGAAATATGTTATTAGGCAATTTCATCCGTGTGTATCTCAAAGTACCACACAGAGTGGCAACTTTGAAGTGCAAATTGAAAAGGTATACCTCAATCATCTGTGATGGCCCCTTGATATTATCCAAATACTCAGTTAAACACAAGATACATGAGGCTACCCCTGGCATAGCAGCACACTGATTTACAATAAACTCTTTTATATAAGCAGGATTATGCTCTAAAGGATGAAAAGCACAGCATGTTATGATGAGTACATAAAAACAGTACTTTATCTGTTAGGCAGAAGGGCAAGTTTTCAGTAAAAGAACTTTGCCTTGCCCAAGCCAACACCATTTTAGAACTGATTTGACTCATGGGGAGGAGACTAGAGCAAGTACTTGGTATTCAGACATTGGAAAAATGGAAAAATAAGTGAGGAAGAAGAGAAAGGACAAGACAGACATGGCGAAAGCAAGAGAAGAATTGAGCCTTATAAACATAATTTTATTTTAGCAATAAAGAAGCTGCAGATGTTAACAATGTTAAACTTCATATAATAAATAGAAAGAAAGAATAGAAAAAAATGTAAACCCAAGCAGGTCATGGGTGTAGCCCTGGAGCAATATTACACAGTAATTGGGCTTTGCAATCCTTTGCGTTGGATGGGAGTTCTAGCGTTGCCACTGTGAGGTGTTGGTAGGT